TCAGTAACTCCCCCGACGATGAAACGAAGAATGGGGAAGTGATCTGTGGGCGCTGCAGCACGAAGGGTCATGGCCGGGACAGATGCCCCCGGCTCAAGTACTACTGCTCTCGCTGTCGAACCGAGGGTCACGCCAATGCGGAATGCGGAATCCCACGACAGGACGGGGCCAGAATTCCTAGCAGCGGCCGACCCCGGGCAGGCAGCTATGGAAGTGGCCGCCGAGGAAATAACGACTGTCATACCTGTGGAAAACCCGGACACTTCAGTTTCGCCTGCCCCCTTAACAAAGGGAAGTTCAACCCTAAAGTCATCGCAGCCTTGACCGACATCTTCGACCCCGGGAATGTGACTGACGGAGGCGACGACGACTACGAGGACGAACTACAATGAGGCCGCCGAGTCGACACCAAGCCGCCGGGAGTGGCGTGGCGTCAAAAGTGACTCCTAAAATGACTCCCGATACTGACAAGAATAAACTGACACTTACCACGACTGTGAGCAGCAGCCCCGTGAACAGCAACCCCAGGGTTACGCCCACAGCCACAACCAAGACTATGATGCCACCATTACACGGAACTTCGGCAGCTCCCCGAGCCATGGAAGGGAGCTACGAAGACCCGGACGAGTGTGCTTCTGAAACAAGACTACAAGCCCAGGAGTGCCTTATGACCAGAGGAGATATCCAAACTCCGTGGATGACATGACTACTAAGACCGGACGAGACGAGTCCCCTACTAACGATGACGACCAAGCTCTCGGTATCAGACGAATCGAATACCTGACCGATGAAGCACACAATACTCCAGGGCTCCCGCTGGACGCGACCCTGCAGACAAGTATAACGCAACAACCAAATAAAACTTACACCAACACCGAATCACCGCGCTTGCAAGCGGTTGACCCTGCAAGCTTTAAAGACGCTACGATCCCCTCGCCCCTTACGAACGCGAAGGCTGACACCCGGCCTCCCGGTCTAAAGGCCACCGTGCGCTCCCAGAAAACAGCCACCTCGCAGGCCACGACTACTGCAACTACCCCTGGGATTCAGAGCTTCAAAAACCGGAGGTCAAAGAAGCTTAGACCTCCCGCCACGCCCGGACCGCGTTCGGCAACGTCAGGGGCGCCCACGAACCTGGCAACCACCCCTGGTTACGAAACTGGACATTCTCCCGGGGTGACTCCCGTCTTTACGGAAGCCCAAATCGAAGCAATCATGCGGGGCGACCTAACGGGCATCCCCGAGGCTCGGCACGTAGATATCGAGGAGCGCCTGTACCCTGTCTCACCAGCCACCTGGAACGTCAGCTCGTCCGACTCAAACAAGAAAGAAAGGATGTCACTCAGGAAGATATCGTCAAGGTGGTTACAATGGCCCTTCGCCGGCCCTTGACACGGGACGACGCGCATCTGTTCGAGTCGCCTTCGAACATCGACGATCCCGATCGCTGGCTCGACTGGTTCTCCAGCACCCTGGAAACATGCGACGAGGCCCGGACGGCTAACCG